GCTAGAAATCTACTTTAAACAATATAAGTCGATGTGGATACCTATGTCAATACTTAGGCTAACCTCAACCCAGCAAGTGAACCACTTGCTAGGTGAGGTGACTAAGAAAAATATTATTCTTTTATTATATAACTTGCCACGTAGGAAAGCAAGTTAACAAGCACTTTCTAACTTAGAAAGTGCTTGCTAATTGTTTCAAAGCTGCAAGGCGGCAGCTTTTGTCACTTTTGCTGACAAAAGTTGTTGTTTTATTTTTCTTTTTTAACTTATATTATTATATTTATAATATAATATAAAAGTGGGACCATTTTAGAAAGTGAGAGAATATTGCAGGGATGTAGAACAAATAGTAGATAATTTGTAAATTTGATGATGTGGAAGTGAGACCCATTTTAGAAAGTGAAAGAAATTGCTGGGATAAAGATAGCCTTAGAGCATGTTTTTGAGTAGGTTTGATCTAAGGTGGAAGAGCGAGTGTGTTGAAAATAGAAGGTTTGATTTGTTGTAAGAGTGTTAGGCTTTTGTCCCCTGAAATGGCATGGGGTCCACGAACTGAAACAAAAACAAAAACAAAAACAAAAAAAAAAAAAAAACAAAAAACAAAAAATTTACAGCGCGTACCAACATCGCCTAACGGGTGCGTGTACTACAAGCGCTTGCGACCACCCTCATTATTTGCCTTTTTCTTTTTCTTATTTGTTGTTTTTTTTTCCTTACTCTTTCCTACTTGAATTTTAAAAAATTGTACAAAATCTTAGATTTTTGAGGATGCTCTCATAATTACAAAATGAATATTTTATTGAAACGTTTTAAAATTTATAGGATGGATTTATAAAAATGATTTAAAAAAAAATATGAAAAACCGTCAAATAAAAGGCACGGCAGAATTGACAGCTCAATAACTAACTAAACTAAGGAGTCAACATAACTAACTGCTGGCGGGAGAAAAAGTGCTGCCCCTCTAAGGTCGTTAAGAGTGATAGCCCCGGCGGCGTCATCATGCTGGGCATTCTAATTTCCCTCGCACCACCACTTTTACTCCACCACCGCCGTCGTCGCAGCCGCCTACACCACCGCCATTCACAATATTTCTCCCTTCTTCCCACTCTCACCTAATTTTGCAAGCCCTAAATGAATTCCTATACATTATTAGATCACCTATGCACACGGATCCGCACGTAATTATTACGAATTCATAAGAAAATCTCGTTTCAGTAATGGATTCCATTGCAGGAGAATGTGTATATGTGTGTTTTTGTTACGAATGTATCTATATGCTTTGCGTTTGTTAACGTTTTCGATTTTGTATTTGTAAATAAGAAAAGTAGTAAAAATTGGTGATCAGAGGAGATGGATCTGGAGATGGGGCTGAGGTGCAAATCTAGCCCAAATATAAGAAATCCTTCTCACGAGCCTTCCTCGCCGTCTCCATCACCGTCGCCGCGAACGCCGGCATTGGTGGTTTCGAATTCCAATAAGTCGCTGGTGGGGTCGAACTCTGCTAAGTCTCTATTATCGCTTTCGAATTCCGGGAAGGCTCTATTGATGTCCAGTCCCGGGAAGAAGAAGTACGTGAAACAGGTGACCGGCCGGCACAATGACACGGAACTGCATCTAGCGGCTCAGCGCGGGGATGTGGCGTCAGTGATGTTGATCCTGGAGGAGATTGACGCGCAGATGCTCAAGACGATGAGCGGAGCTGAGTTTGACGCGGAGGTGGCGGAGATTAGATCAGCGATGGTGAATGAGGTGAACGAGTTGGGGGAGACCGCCCTGTTCACCGCCGCCGAGAGGGGCTACATTGATGTGGTGAAGGAGTTGCTTCCGTACACCACCCAAGAGGGGATTACTACTAAGAATAGGTCAGGTTTCGATCCATTGCACATTGCTGCCAATCAAGGTCATCAAGGTAATAACATTGGATATATGTTGTGCATTTCTTTTCAGAGATTGTATGCATCTTCCAGATGTGCAACTAGTGTTAAGATGATTACTGTGGTTGCAAATGTTAATGCCTTAAATTATTTATATGATTGGATTTTGATCTTCCACGGTTTAGATGATTGTAGGTTTCTCATCAAGTCCTGCTTTAGTTTTATGCTTGATGCCATTTGTGATCTGTGTAGATATTGTAAAGTTGCTGTTGGATCATGATCCGGGACTAAGCATGACGATTGGCCAATCAAATGTAACTCCTCTTATATCTGCAGCCACAAGAGGGCATGTAGCAGTGGTTGAGGAATTACTCAAAACGAATTCTTGTTTGTTAGAGATCACCAAATCCAATGGAAAGAACGCATTACATTTTGCTGCACGCCAGGGGCATATAGATGTTGTTAAAGCGTTGCTTCAAAAGGATCCACAGCTTATACGAAGAACTGATAAGAAAGGACAAACTGCACTGCACATGGCTGTAAAAGGCACTAGCTGTAGAGTGGTAAGGTTTCTTCTGCAAAAAGATGCAGCGGCTGTTATGCTTCCCGACAAGTATGGTAATAATGCTCTACATGTTGCCACAAGGAAAAAGAGGGTTGAGGTACTTCACTATTGCTGCACCTCTTGTATTCCTACCTTTCTCCTTTAGCTGTGGAAAATATGTACTGCATGCAATTGGTTTTAATTAATGGTTCCTTTATTTATTTATTTTTAAAGTCCAGTTAATGGTAAATTTTCATCATTCATGACAATAATTTCAAGATAAAATAGTCCCACTTAAGCTTTTATATATTGCAGATAGTGAATGAGCTATTGCAGCTCCGTGATACAAATGTTAACGCAATGACAAGAGACAATAAAACAGCACTTGACATAGCTGAAGGGCTTCCTCTCTCTGAAGAAATTGCAGAGATAAAGGAAAGCTTGGCCCGTATTGGTGCTATTAGAGGAAATGAACTGAAACAGCCACGTGATGAGCTTAGGGAAACTGTCACAGAAATTAAGAAAGGTGTACGCACACAGCTTGAACAAGCTCGGGAGACTAACCAGAACATGAATGGTATTGCCAAGGAGCTTAGGAAGCTCCATAGAGAAGGAATCAACAATGCTACTAATTCAGTCACTGTTGTCGCTGTGCTGTTTGCTACAGTTGCCTTTTCAGCTATTTTTACAGTTCCTGGAGGGGATGATGAAGACGGAAAGGCAATTATGGCAGGCACCGCAGCTTTTAAGATTTTTTTCATCTCTAACGCTGTTGCACTCTTCACATCCTTGGCTGTCGTGGTTGTACAAATCACAGTGGTCAGGCGAGAAGTAAAATCTGAAAGAAGGGTTGTTGAGGTGATCAATAAATTGATGTGGTTGGCCTCTGTTTGCACCACACTTGCGTTTGTTTCATCTGCATACATAGTTGTTGGAAAACGTAACAGGTCTGCTGCAATTCTAGTTACAGCTATTGGAGGAATCATTATGGCCGGTGTTCTAGGTGCCATGACTTACTACGTGGTGAAATATAAAATGATAAGGAAAGTAAGGAAAAGAGAGAAGTATTCAAGGAGTTCTGGGAACAATTCATTGCGTAACTCAGATTTTTCTGATTCGGAAGTCAACTCAATATATGCAATCTGATGACTTCCCTTAACTTGGGCTGCTGTCCTTGTTGTTTTATTTTTTCTTTCTCGTGAGGCCCTTTGAAGATACAAGGGCTGCAAAAAGATCCTAGGAAGTCTCCGTTGTAAATATTGGAGTTGCAATTAAGCACTGTTGTATATGGACAAATCCCTTCAAACTGACCTATTTTTGTATACAAGGGCATACACACATAGTGTATGTTCGGGCGTTTTGTATGAATGCCAAGTTGCTGAGTTTTCCTTCTTTTCAGATAGAAAGCTTCCCTGCAGATTTCAAGTTTTTATGGTTTCATTTTCAATGCCTGTTCTTGCAAGTTGCAACTTGTGGTTCTGATGTTGCACTTTGGCATGCAGGGTATTACACTATCACTTCATACTAGAATCCCCTTTGAACTCATTTAGCATTTGCTGTGTATCCCTCACATCATTTCACACTCATGTAATATTGATTCTTGAGGGCACTGATAAATGTACCATGATTGGACTGAAGGTTCTTTAACTTTTAGTCTCAGACAAGTGCCCAAATTACAGTCACATCAAGTCTCAGAAAATGCTCTCATCTTCTCTATTCATGGTGCACATGTGTGGGTCTACCACACGTACTCCCCTATCCATATACGTGGCTTATGAAACTTGTTTTCAGGCATGCTTTGACTAGAAAACTATCTATTTGCAGACACCCTTCAGATTGTCTGGACACCTTGCAAAACGACATTCTTAAACTGCAGCATTCTGTATCATACTCTGCATTCAACTCTCCATAATTAAGTGCTAGTGATTATCTGAATGTTATCAGATTATGATAGATCACAGCCTTTGTCTTTGTCTTATAAAGACAATAATTTTGTGCCATATACATTGAATCAATCTAGTCGAGTAATCCAATTGGATTCATTTTTCAGGCTTTGGTTTCAATCCCTTGTGTATGAAGTTGACCAACTTTTATGTCTCTAGCTTTGTTGAAAATGGAATGAGCAGAAGAGCCAAGTGTACCCAAACAAATCCGCAAAGCTCATCTCTCACATGGCCTGCAATCTCAACCACGGGATTACTGTACGTTGTCTCATATCCTATCCTTTCTTCCTTATCTTCTCTTCCAGTTTCTGTTTCTTAGGGCAGTGAGTATGCAATATAATGAGAGTTATATGTGATTGGCATCAACCTTCATCAGAGCAAACATGGAAATTCAATTAGTGTTTATCAGTTTCTGCAAATCCTATTTGTTTATTTTAAAGAGTATTTATGGTTCATGCTAAAACCAACAATTAGAAAGAAACTTGAATTTTAATTTGTGCAGTCAAATCACACAATTCTTGCTCACTGTCAGGGGAAAAGAAATTGAAGCAATTTGGACACTAGTTCATGTGCTGATAGCAATACTGTAGAATTAGTGTCCTTTTTTGTAGGTTTCTGAGAAGAATTCTTAATTGTTTTTAAGAGAATCAGGAATTTGCGTTATATGTCCGTTACTGCAGCTGATGTTACAATGCATTGCTACAAGATGACAAGTTTAGTTTGCAAACAAATGTTTGGTCCAACCTTGCTCACTCTAATAATATGTTCTTTGTTTGACCACATGCTCCACTAGTAAACTGGTCCTAGTATTGCTGCACACATCCTTTTCGGTGTAGAAGTACATGCATCTTTATTCTTGCAAAGCTCCTGTTAGGATATGTCACCATTAGGACTTGTAGTAGCATGTTCAACAACCAGAAAAAAAAAGTTCGGAAAATCAGTAAATAGAAGAACCATTTGAAATAACAGAACAAACACATTCTAAATCTCTAAAAAAAAAAAAAAAAAAAAAAAAAGAAAGACCCAGTGCACAAAACTCTTGTATCATGAAGCATCTGAAGACCAGGGGATATATATGAGCTTTATGCAATATTTAACCCGTGACTTATCAGTTAACGTGTGAGCAATGATCACTTCACCAATAGATATATGGACAGTTTTGTTGTAGATGTTTAGACCTTTTATCAAGAAATGTGCTATTAGGCATCTCTTACGTGTTTTCCTCATCGTTTGCCATGTTTTGTCAATCAACTTTGAAAATGTGAAGCATATACTGATTACTACTAATGAGTCTTGATGTGGTGTAATCTAAGAGAAAAGACAGTAAATAAAAAACGACTCTTCAGTAGCTTGGGACCCTTGTGGATTTAAGGATATTGCAACTTGCAGGGTTAAGACATTTTCATAACTTGACCTATTATAATCTGTGGATCAGCCACTTGGAAAGTGGTTTTAATGAAACATCCTCAGATCAGAAGACAATTGTTCTTCCATCCAATTGTTAAAAGCTTAGTAAGTGGAATTCCTAGAACCATGAAAGCAGTTTTCATATTTGACTAGTAGATAACTGATTGTAAGAGTTCAGTAACACCCATTGCTGCTAGTGACATTTCTTAATCCCTGTCAGTAATCAGGATGACATGTTTACTTAGAATGATTGTTTTGTCAATATCAACAATGAGAATACAGATGCACCCTTCTAATAAGGTTTCTTTGTCTGCACATGACAGGTGTACATCCAGATCCCTTAATGTAGGCTAACTACAACCTTTGATTTTTGGCCTTAAATTTCTATTTCTGTCCTGTTATGTGTTTTCCTTTAAGTCCTCTTCTTGCTCTGAAATCTGTTTGGGGGAGGTGAGGGTGAATGTTATTTGCTAAAACCAGCACAGTATATCTGAATTCAAGGCTAACCTTTGAGTGAGTGACGAGGGAAACCCGTAGCCACTACTCGAGGATGGTGTGCATGGGTAAACCTCACCTTATCATCCTAACGGGCAAAGGATAGGTAAACCAGCCTAGGTTGCTCATAACTGATCCACTCAAACAAGAAGGCCAATAGGCTACTCCTGCTGAGGTCGAACTCGTAACTTTATGGTTACCAAGTCAACAGTCACTTGGTTAGTGTTGTCCCCTATTCAAGGCTAACCTTCATGTTAAATCTTCTGGGTTTTGCAAAACCAAATTGAATTTTGTTGGCAATTTATGAGATGAAGATAACAACTTAAAAAGGCCTCTGACAATACATAAAGGTGACCCTTTGTTGCATTTCTTTCTGGGGTGGGAATGCATTTGTTCCTCTCAGTCTCTGCAGAGCTTCCAGTACTTAATTGTCTTTGTTTAACCCATAGGCCAACTTTAATTGGTGCAGAAAGCTCTAACAGCTTTCACTTTTTCTTTTGTAAAGTTGCACAGATTCCTCACTTTTATATTCATTTCCCAGTGCAGTATTCCCCAGCAGAGATGAATGATGGATAAGTTGTGAAAAGTATGCACTGTGCGGTGGGAAAGAAATTGTTTTGAGAGCTGCTGTGTATACAAAAGCCATTGAGCACAAAGTTTGGTATTTTACACTACTCTTTCAAGTAGAAAGGTTGAGATAACAATAATGCTAGAAAAAGAAAAGAAAAGAAAAGAAAATGCACTGCTGAAAAGTTGGCCATCATCAAGATTTGTGGAAGGCTTCATTTTTCCTTGATCTTGTTGACACCCTTTTTCTTTTTATTTTTGAGCGACGAGGGAAATTCGCAGTCACTACCTGATGGTGTACACGGGAATCCTAGTTGACCGGCTCAAACTAAGAAGCGACTCACACTAGGAGCTGAACTTTATAACGTTGTGGTTACGAAGTCAATAGTTTAACCAACTTGGTTAGGTTACCCCCAAAGAATTTCGGAAGCCACTATTTGACACCCTTTTTTCTTCCTTGAGAAGAAATTGGTTCACCTTTTCCTCTTGTTGTATTATGTCTTAATGAATTGGAAAAAAAAAAAAAAAAAAAAAAGATCATATCAGATTATCAGGCTGCTTTTTCAACAGTAAAAATACCTTTTTAGATTCTATGATTATACACATTCATTCAAATGACTTGATGGACAGAATTTCATTACATACATTTTGTGAACTTAACAAATGAATGAACTTTTAGATTTATTTCCTCTTAGATTTAAGAAGAACATGGTTTCCTTCATTCTCTCAGTCATCACAGGGAAGAAGAAGAAGAAGAAGAAGAAAAAGGGAAGGAGAAAATTTTAGAATTAGATGCTACAGGCACCTTGTCTTCCTTGAACTTCACAGGCTACAATCTTTGGAGCAGACAGTGAACAAGCCGCATTTTCAGGCAATGGTTTTCTTGAACTGGAGAGGTCTTGAGACTTCTTGCAATGAGCAATTGCTGCCTGGATGGAGCCCTCAATCTCTGAGGTGTCACTGCTGCTTCTCTTGAGGAAGTTGAGCTCATAGCAGCCATTAGAGATGAATGCAATGGATGAAGAGGAGGAAGAAGAGGAAGTACCAGATGAAAAGGATGAAGAGGAAGACAGACACTTTGTGGGGGAATGCCTTTTGATTGCTGCTGAGAATGACCTCCTGGGATTGCTCAGAGTGTCCTCAACCCCCCCATCTCTCTCACCACTCTTGATCACACTGGCTATGGTGGGATGTGGGCATTTCCCAATGTATGGCAATGAGGGTCTCATGCCCACTTTCATGTACTTGTTGCTGGAGAAATCCTGAGCATTATTCAAACCTTGTTGATCAGATTCAGGATGGTTACAGCAGCTGGACTCATCTGAACAACCAGACTTGCTGAACAGCCCCTTGAGATAAGCCTTGGAGGCCTTCAGCTTCTGGCTTATCAGAGACTGCTTAACCAGTTTAAGCTTCTTGGCCCAAGACTTCTTTGGGTGGTGGCTATTGATGAAAGTGCTAAACTCATTGGACCATTCAAAGTAGCAGTCATCAGGGTTGAGCTCACAGCTCACCCTGCAAGACTCAGATGGGGAAATGTTGCATGACTCCATTGGAGTACTGGTATCTGTAGAAGGTGCAGTGGAGCTAGTTGCAGTGCTGATAAAGGGCATCCCACAGAAGCTTTCTTCTTCTTCTTCTTCAATGGTGGTGGGGGTGGTCTGGATGAGCTTCTGGACCATCTGCAGCCTGGGTGGGAGGTGGAGAGGGAGGAGCTTCCCTCTGTAGAAAAGCTCATCAGCAGGGGAAGTGGAGGACTCTTTCTCCACACAAATGGAACCCATTTGGAACTCAAACTCTCTGATTTGTGGGGAAGAAGAAGAGTTCACTTCCATGTCAATGTAGTCCTCTTCTTCTTCTTCTTCTTCTGCAACATTGTGGTGCTTTAATGGAGGATCACTTGTACTGTTTTTGGCCATTTTTCTGGGCAGCAGAGGGGGGTGTGTGTGTGGGAGTTGCTGAGATGCTTATTGGGAGTTGTGAGCTTGTTGGTAGTGAAGGGGGGGAGAGCAGCAAAGCATCCTTTAAAGTAGAGATGGTGCCAAGTCAGAAAAAGCTTACAAATAAATTCTAAGGAATTTCTTTTATTGGAAAATTCTTGGCTGCCTTCTCATGCAAAACTACTATGCAAAAAATGGGAAAATCACCCAATAAATTTTCTAACTATTTGGTGGCATTCAATTGTATTTTTTAATTAAAAAAGGTATGCACAAACACCCAATTTTTATTTTTATTTTTATTTTTTAAATTACCTTTAAACAAGTATGAAGCTTGTATAGTTTTAGAGTGAAAGTAAACATTTTTAAATAATTCAATGCCTTTTGCTTCTCCTCATGCAAAATTATTAGGCAAGAAATTGAGAAAATAGCCCCGAAAGATGGTTAAATGGGTGAAGCATGATTATCGTATTTGAACGTCACGAGTTCAATTCTTATTAAACTCTTCTTGGTTGAGTCCGTCACACAAGATCTTCCTAGTGCAATAATCTCTTTTATGTGATTTTTAACTATTATACAAGAACAGTATTTACACCATGCACACCATCAGATAGTGGGAAAAAAAAAAAACATTATATGAATATACACCGGCATTTTTTTAAAAGTACACTTCTAATAAATTACGTTACTAGTAGAGATTTTGAACATTAGCGAAATATTTTTTTTAGTTCAAGAGTATCTCCCACCAAAATGCCCCAACCCTAAATTTCAATTTGAAATGGATTGAATGTGTAAATATCCACTCATCACAACAACAAAAATGATTCAAAAAAGTTGTCATTCAACACTCTTTTCGTCTCTTCTTTGGATTTTAACTGTTGGATGATTCCCAAGCAACCAATGGAACAATACTACGCGTGTTCAATCGTTTATTTTAAACTTTGATCTAATAATGTATTTTTTTTTTTTTTTAACAAATGCCACAATCTCAAATTTATCATCCATGCCATCTACTTGTAAATTTGAAATAAAATATCAAATATGTAACAAATTATTTATATCGTGATAATATATCCATAAGAAAGTAAAAATTGAAAAAAAAAAAAAACAATTTTGCTAGCTGTCATATGATATATGGGATTAAAAAAAAAAAGTGTGAATTTGGCTCTGTCATGGACACGTACAAGCATTTTGGGGTTTGTAAGACAAATACATTTAACGATTTATCTCATTCACTAATCTCTAAGGAGAAGTGTTGAGCAAAGAGAAAATACATAGAAATGAAAAAAAAAAAAAAAAGAATTAAAAAGGTAAATATGAATGTTTGTTGTGCTTGCAAAGTTGTGAAAGATGTTTTAGAGAAAAACTCAGTTTTACTAATAATGATTTTGACAGACATGTTTTGATTGATTGTGTATAAAATCAAAAGAGTATTGATTTACACACGGATATTGTGATTCTTAATTTTTATTGTAAATGAAGGACAAAAAGTAAAGAGTTATATGGGTTGGAGAAAAAAAAAAGAATGAGTCATGTTACATTGGGAAAGAATTACTAAAATGACATCTCACTCAAGTCTGACTCACAAAATTTTCTTACAATGATTTGTTTGTTTTGTGTGGTTTGCGAGCTATTACACATAACCAGGGTTTACTAAGTATACACTCTTAGATAATGGTTGCGGGTTTCTCTCGTCATCCAAAAAAATTACTAAAGTGAGAATGAATCATACTACATTTTTTGAACTTTATTTTATAATATTCACTACTTCATGTTAATTGGGGTAAAATAACAATAACAACTTTTATTGTTAAAATAAAAATTTGTTCATGAGAATTTGCCAAAATATTTAAAATTCATAGAGGGAAATGCTAAAGAAAAAAAAAATGAAACCTTAATAGCATGCTTGGTTGGAGTGAATTAGAATTTCACCCATGCCCAATGGCAAGCAAAATATTTATTGATGATTTTTAATGTTAAAAATGTTGCTAATAAATTCAAATTTTGTTTTATATAACTATTTGTTTTACAAAATAATTATATAACAAAATCGTGTTATTACTATGCATATTTCCTTCTTATTCTATATTTTTACTATTTGTTGACATGACATACTCTGATTAATTAATTAAAAATAAATTATATTTTTTATTTTTAAATAAAATTAATACGTATAACAAGAATTTTACTATTTTAAAAAGATAATTATTATTTTTCTTTTAAAATAATAGCACAATCCTGCAAAACCCACAAGGTATGCAGTTCTGTATTCTGGAACATAAAATTAAAAAATAAAAAATAAAAATAAAAACTGCCCATCCCTCCATACTTGGTTTTTTGCACCATCACAAAAAAATCAAAAATTGAATTCCGTTACACTATTATGGATCTTCTCGTTGACCTGGTCAAAACCATAATTCAACCTTGATAATGATTCAACCTTGATAAGTGTACTAACACGATAAAACTCATGTTACATATTATAATGATTCAACCTTGGAGTTAATTCTATTTTTTATCCTAAATTTATTAGTGACAGTTCATTTTTAATATCTTTTCTTTTATTAAAGTATTTTTTTTTGTTCTAATATTATTGTGACATGACCAATTTTAAAACAAAATTTATTGAAGAAAATCCTAGATTCAACCTTGGTTCTATCAACAAAATCATTGAAATTTATTGAAGACATTTTGATCTTTTTGATCTAAGACATTTTGATCTTATTGAAGACATTTTGATCTAAGACATTTTGATCTTTTTAATACAAAGTGCATTGACCCGTTATATTTTTTATGTTTGTTTTTTTGAAAAAATTCATAATTGAAGAGCGAAATGTCCTTATGTTTAACAAAATTTTCAACGATTTCTTTGATAAATGATCAAAATTGATTATATTACAATAATATTATGACCAAAAAGGGATATTCTGATAAAAAAAGACCAAAAATGAATTGTCACCTATAAATCTAGGACCAAAAATGAAATTAACTCCATATTATAATCTTAATATGAAAAATGAATAAAAGTTATCACCTACTAAGAGGCTAAAAAAAAAAAAGGGTAAAAAGTAAAAAGATATTTAATATTTCATTGGTCTAATTTTACCTTTCTTTTATTCATTAGTCAAACCGACTGTTCTTTCTTTACTTATTTTCTAATATTTTCTTATAAAATTTTTTTTGTTGTTTTAATAGTACTTTTGATGTAATTTTAAATATATAGATTTTATACTTTAATACTAATTAAATATTGTTAATTGAACTTGACACTTAAAATGTAACAGACTGAAGGGAATTTGTTTTTGTTTTTTTTTTTTTAAAAAGTTACTGTTTTTGAGATGACAAACTTTGAAAGTTTATTTGACCCTACCACTCATTGCTACCATAGGGAGGCAAAACCATTTTCTTTTGAACACCTCTCTTCCTGTGTCTTGCAACAGCATATAATATTGAAATATGAAAGGGTCTTTCTCTTCCCAAGATCGAGACCTTTGTTTCTATCCTTTGAATTGGTTACCTCGAGAGAGATGTGGAAAATTTATGGTCCTATGGAGACCTATACTATCTTACATTTCATTCACCTACACCCTTCTTATTACTTTTTGCCAAAATCAAAACCATTCCTTCATCAATACTAAATACGTAGTACATGTTTCCTTTGCAATATTATGAAATAAAAAATCAAAAAATTTAAAGCTTTTCATTCTTGAATTGTGATTTTTGCCATTAGTTGTTTAATATGCATATATATGATACTTAGATTTTTAAAAAATGTTATGTTCCAATCTATGTCCATACTTTTTGATTTTTGAGTATGAAGCAATCTATGCATTTTTTGTTATTGTCCATTAATTAATGATTTTTTAAGTTTGTACTTTGTAGACAAAACACATAACATAAGTGCAATTGTCTCTGATATTATATGGTTATCTAAAGTTTATAGACAAAAAAAACACATAATTTGAAACTTAAATATCGTATATACATGTAAAGAATAATTAGAGACAAAAATTCAGACCTAACCATAACATAGAGATTGAATATGAAAATATTATATGGTTATCTAAAATTTTTAAACAAAAAAACGCATAATTTAAACTTAATTATCATATATACATGCAAAGAACAATTAGAGACAAAAATCAAGATTTAATTGTACCACAAATTAAAAATGCAATTATCTCTGATAGAATTTACATTTGGTTGTTTAAAAAGAGTAAAGTTAATTTCCAAAAGAAAAAAAAAAACAAAAAAAGTAAAGTTAAATTTCCCGTGAAATAATGAACTTAAGAAGCGAGCTTTATATTTCTCCCTAATAAATACTGAATCAAACAAATTAGTAAGTTTTGTTGAATAACAAAAAGTAAGTTTTGTTGAAAAATAATAAGACAGATGATGAAATAAATAAGAAAGACAGAAAATTACAGTTGTGTACATGTGAAACAGAGTTGAAAAAGTAAAAGAAAAATCATAAGATACATAAATTGTGATGGGGGATTGGTTTAATCAGAGGACTCGTAGTTTACAGGAAGAGGCCACTCCGCATCAGGTTACTCACATGACCTCATCTGACAAAAACTTCAAAGTGGACACGCATTCTGACATGACCCCACCTTTCTTCTCTACTGGGCCCCCCCGCTACAAAATTACATACTATTATTATGCATCCTAATACCGACAACTGTACTTTTTTTTTTTTTTACTAAAAAAAAAAAACAGCACTCCCTCCAAAATCCAAATCCAACACGGTCAAGGAATTCGAGTAAATTAATAAAAATAGAATTCAAATGTCAGGATGAAAAAGACCTTAATAACCTTTGTTTTTCCTCCGTGCTCCAGAACTGTTAATCATCAAAACTCAAAAGGTTGGATTTATAATATAACAAGGCATACAAGGATGGGACATGTCGGCAATTCAAGTGTGTCCCTCAGCTGTTGAAATCTTCTGCTGCATTGGAAGATTTTTGTGTGCAATATTCAAATTCAAAATTTAAGAAAATAAATAATAGAGAGTTTTGAAGTAAAGGGGACTAACCTGGAGTAAAAACAGGAAGATGGGTAAAATGGTAAATAATGAAGAATCATTCACCGTATTCTGTGTTTTTCACGATTACATCGGATTCCCAGTCGTCAATTTCGTCGAAAGGATGGTCTTTGCTACTGTTCTCGAGTTCCAACTCCATCTTCAACTTGGAAAGTTCAGCGGCGGGATCCGTATTCTTTGTTCTGAGGGGTTTATGGGACGTGAAGCTGCTGTCATCTCGTGAGAAGCTTACTGAGTCATTTGCCTGACGGATGGCCATCGATAGGCTTCTTCTCAGATTCTCTCTCACTGATTTTTGTCTTTCAGTTTGGTGAATTGATCCGGGGCTGATGGGATTCAAAGACTGGGTACTTTCTGGCGCTACTTTTGATGATGATTTATCTGCCCCCCTTCTATTTGAAGTTTCAACTTCCAGAGATGGTCTTTGCATGGATTCCAGTTCTTCTTTAATCTTGGAAAGATTATCAAATAATTCTCTTACATTTTCGTCATCTTTCCTGTTGGAAGGAAAAAGATCACACTCATCTTTCAAATATATATTGTCTCTAACTTCCAAGTATACACAACTGCAGGATGGATGGATCATATATATTACCTTGAAATTCCTTCAACTTGAGCATAGAACTGTTTTTTAATGCTTTCCACCACACTGAATGCGGTTATTAACTGCAATGTTCAAGAAAGAAGAATGAAGGATTAAAAGAAGATTACATGCATCATAAAGTCACAGTTTTCTGGTTGCTTGAGAATCATATATATATGCATCAATACATGATATGATGATGAAACAATAAAAACTACACAAAAGATTATAATACCTTGGTTTCTGCCTTGAGGTATTCCTCCTCTAGACGCCGTCTTGCATCAACTGCACTCTTCTTCTCCCCACCATTTGGAGCAGCAGCTGGGATCTCCGACCTGGTAGTCCAAACTTAGAAACATAGTTCTCCTCAAAGGAAATGTTTCAAAGCAGTGATGACTGATGAACAATACCCTCTTAAGTCCTCCGCCAGTTTCTTGAGGTTCAAAACAGAAGGCCCCAGCTCATCCTGATAAATTAAAAAGGAATGTAGCTATACAAGTCATATTAGATAGATATTGAAAGCAAAAACAGTTAAGTTTCAATATAAACAATCAAATACCTTGTATGCAGATAAGACACGAATCACCAACTCCACAAAATAGCCTTCGCATCTCTCCAATTCCTCACTTAAACAACATCCAAAGATATGGTTAAATTTTGCATGATTCAAGAATATACATATGCAATTTTAAAGGTATAGCAGGTTTTCCTTGTTCTTAATTTTAATGGAGCCGTCCATCTATTTATTAATACTTAATAGAACTAAGCAACGAGCAGGTTGACACTGTCAAATCTACAGCGGAAAGAAGAATGAAGAATCAAAACAAATAGCTAGAGAAACATTCAGGAGAGCTCCATACTTCACATGCTTCTGTTTTTGATTAATGTATGACGATTCAAAACCCCGGGTGTCTTCTAAAAAGTAAATAAATGCATCACAAACATCTGCCTCAGCTCTGTATGACGCAACAGATCTAGACAGCTCATCCTCCTAAATTTATCAACATAAATGAAAATGGTACAACTTAGAATTAGATTCAAATTGCATATCAAACTAGTACATATTATAAGATATCATACCTTCAATTGGAAGTGCTGAAGAATTTCGTTGCTAGCTTCATTAAATTGATCTCTTTCTTCCTTGGCATTGCGAAGATGGACATGGGCAGAAATCAATGCTGTATTGACCTACAGGCATTTATTAGACGAAACAAGTCTAGCTAACACTAACTCTTATTTTACTTATTTAATGTCTCATTAACTATGTAAAGATCATATATTGTTGAAAATTTAAATTAATCAGTAATGCATTTTCTCTAGGACAGTGAGAGAAAGAATAAGTACCCTTTTCAACTCAGCTTCAAGTTGGTCTTTTTGCTTCCCAAGTTCATCAATTTCAAATGTCAGTTCCTAAAAAAGGCAATTGTAGTTAAGGAGCCTAAAATTCAACTTCAAATAAAGCAAGCAAAAATTCCCATAAACCAGAGGCAAATTGGAAACCAATTGTTAAGGAAAACAATTGCAAGCATTTACTAGGGTATCTGTCAACAGAGGGGGCATGACTCAACTAAGGAATGTCACCTTTTCAAGTTGGGAGAATTCATTCCCTTTTGAGATACGGAAGCTAACAGCTCCATCTTTCTGAACTCTGGTCCAAGAAAATGCATTAGAAGTTGAGAGAATAGCATTAAATATTTTGTTCTATAAATTACTTCCTGGGAAGCAGGCAAACAACTCTATTACAAAAACCAAGAAATATAGAAAGAAATTAAATGTATCTTGCAAATTGCCACACGATGCTTTCAGTAATTTGAGAATTTGTGCTGACTACATAAAACTTTGAATGCTGATTGTGTTTTTTTTTAACCAGACTGGACGTTTTTCCCATGAAACCCAAGTGATCCTCCAAAATATTAAATTTAGCGAGCCATGAAACCTGAATGCCACTTGCAGAATTACAATTCCAGGAGTGCATCATTTCACACCCTTTGTATAGGTTTTCCTCTTCAGTCATTAACAGGAGAGTGCATAGTTTCTTGCATCAAATTGTAATGGTTAAGAGCAATCCAGAGTAGCAGAAACTTCAGTAAAACCAAATTTTATATAGAAATGTTTCATTGTCATTTCCATGAAAGATTCTAGTATAATCCATACACTCTTCAATCACATATTCAATCACACCTTGGTTAGAACTCTGTCCACTTTTAACTTCTTGTTTTTGCAATTCCCCTATTTAGGGAATTAGGGTCACTAAATTAGTGAGACGAAATATATTTGCTAAAAGAACTCAAGCATAAAAAGGTTAGTCAGAGAAAGATGAAAGAAGCATAGCAGCAAACCTGCTCTCAGAAATGTGTTCTTCAGCTCTTGAAGCAGAGCATGAAAGAGATGCTGACAAAACCTTTAACTTGTCAACCTACATGTTGACCAAAAATATTGGTAGAGAGTTTAAACAGTGTGAGAGAGAACTATCTTTGTCAAAATTTCAGTAGTTGGAGGACCATTTCTATCTTTGAAACTTAGGGGATCATTAGTGTCCAATTTTTATTCTAGTATTAGTCCCATCAACTATAAGAAATTGACCCAAAAATGGCATTTCTGTTATAGTTAATAATGAAACCCTAACAAAGTACCATTTCTATCCAGGGGACCAAATTTGTCAAATTGATAGTTGGGTACAAAGAGTGGAATGCCATGCAAGGGAGTAAAACATGAATTAGTTCAAGTTATAATTACTACAGTAGATTTTTGCAGAACATTCTTTCCAAGGAAAAGTAATTCATCACTTAGATGCAAACCTTTTGAAAATGGTTTTCTAGTGAGTTCCTGTTAAGCATAATCTTCTCCTTTGACAAAAGTGACTCCAATTTGGAACATAATTGTAACTGGGAAAGTTCATCTTTCAAAGCCTGCCATAAAAAGATCAAGTTTAGACAAGCTTTAAAATTTCATGATGATTTAAAAAGTTTCAAGTATCATACTCAAAGGAAATAACTTTATAAAGAGGTCCTACTTTACTAATACTTAACACAGTATATCTTCAAGTCTCAATACCATGAGAAATTTTAAAACCAGGTCAGTTACGTGCCTTCACAATGCTAAGCAGTTCTTTTATATCACTGATTCACTTCTTATTTGGATGGTAGAAGTTTATGATAAAGCATAATAATCCCAGGTATATATAACATGCCTCTGTTATTGTAGCTGTAGACAATTCAGATGATCTTTTATCAACTTCCACTGAAGGTGGCCAGCATTCCATTTTGTTTAGGTCCTGCTGTATGTTGGAGACTTCAGAATCTATTCTGAGCGCAGACCATGAAACAGTTAAGATAAAAATTACGATTGCAGTTTTGCATCAGTGCCAAAGGCAAGAAAAATGGATAACTACCCATGCTAAAAGGTGTTTAGTACAGTGCATTTACTCCCCAAATATTACATATTTCATAGCACCTAAATCACAAAATAGCAAGATTATGCCTAGCAACCTTGCTATGTCAGCATTTACTTTCAACCCAGCAATTGCACTTTGTGCAAAAAGAAGCAGATCTTCCTTCTTTGCCTGGAATAATGGAAAGGACAGAGAAAATTACATGACTTCCTTATATCTTTAGGACAATGAAATTACCCACATAGTATGAAGGTCCTAAGTGAAATGTCATCATTACGTATGCCAGAACATGGTTTTTTATTCCATTACCAGCAGTTCATCATTATAGCTTGAGAAAGCTTTAGCCAAAGCTTCTATGCTGGCTATTGTTGCATCACAAACTTCTTTCCCACCTGTAAGACAAAGTCTATACATCCAAGAAAAAGAACAAAGAACTGAGAAACAATGATATTTATTCCATGCATATTATTTTCCATTAGTATGAACATAAAATATTTTGCAAAGTAACTCTGCTATACAATAATCAATAGGTCATAATCCTTCAGACAGGACCCTTAAATCCAAAAAGAGGGCATTTGAAGCAAAAGAGATGAACAATGAAGAGTTACCCAAAGATCTCTGTAAGTAATGACACTTCTTCTTCATCTGGTGCTTCAAGAATCTAAGACAAACAGAACATTTAACCACCAGTTACCCTTGAATAAGATAAACCATATATGTGGAGTTCAAAGGAATAAAAGAATTGGCAAATGTCCAAGCCAAATACTATGCCTAAATAAATAAAGTGACTACAAAGCATACAATGAGAAATGAAGATAAAATCTGTTTCTGGATTATTTATTTCCATCTTTTCAATTTTCATGAATGTATCAAACAAATAATGAATTTGAAATCTCATCTCTTCCATCATCCTCTCACAAGCCCCAAAGCATTTATAGAGCTAATAGCTCTGATAATACTTAAACATTCAAGAAATTGGAATAGAATAAATCAATGAAACAAAACACTTTTCATTTCACTCCAAATTTGATCAATTAAACTTTCAACAGAGAATTCCAATATGGTAAAGGGCCACTGATGCCAATTAGAGAAGAGGTTAACAGATGTTCAAACTGATCAAACAAGGTGAATTTGGACTCTCATCTCTTCCATCATCCTCTCACAAGCCCCGAAGCATTTATAGAGCTAATAGCTCTGATAATACTTACACATTCAAGAATTTGGAATAGAATAAATCAATGAAACAAAGCACTTCTCATTTCACTCCAAATTTGGTCAATTAAACTTTCAACAGAGAATTCCAAGATGGTAAAGGGCCACTGATGCCAATTAGAGAAGAGGTTAACAGATGATCAAACTGGTAAAGCACTGAAATCTGTTCAGCTCACCACAGACAAGACGATGCCTTCTAGAGCTTGACTGCGAAGAAAGACATCTTTGAAATTCATTGGTTCCCCACCAAGATCAGGATCATAATATAAAACCTGTCAATTGAATATTAAGAGGATAAAGATGAGCTTACTTAAGTAAATAAGAGAATAATGCTAATTACCAAAAGAAAGAAAAAAAGAAATGGCAGTTTATCAACTGTCCTCGGAGGTACAACTAAGGCTCTGTCAAGCATACAAAGAATAATTAACGTCAAACCATCAAGCCATCCAAAAGGGATGGCTGTAAATATTTTTTTACTGTACAGATAGAAGGAACAGATTACTTTCAGGCATTATTATGCCTAAGAATAGAACAGAGAAATAGGCATTATAAGGTGCATTTAAGAGTTGAGTTGAACATTGAGATGTGCAAATATCATACGCAAAACCTGTGTACATATTTCAAACCAGTTATTTGCATTTTATTCATTGAAGTCACAATCTCTATTATTTTGCATTCCCATTATAATTAAGTGTAAGAAGATATAACTGGAGGCAATTAGGGAGTGGGCAGTGTACCAAGACTATGTGGTCTAATGGTACCCGGGTTGGACTTCCATTTGGAAGGTTGTGAGTTCGAGCCTCAGTGGAAGCGTTATTGGCTTTTTGTGTTTCAGTAGGTTGAGAAAGTATATGAACAGATACTACATTGTAATAGAGTCAGTAGCATCCAAAAAAAAAAGGGAGTGGGCAGTGTAATAAGTGGAACAGAAACAGCATTTTTATCGAACTGCCTGACCTTTCATTTCATAAATTTAAAAGACAATCCCAAATAACTGCACAACAACAAAGTATATGCACTACACTGTCAAATTATCATGGCTAGCACCATTTGTGAGCATATTAGACTTCACATTTATTCTGTGACGAGAGCTTCTCCGTAGCAATGAAAGTAGGAAAAAGCAATATAGCAGATTAGTACAAGATGACTTACTTACCATAGTAGGCTCTCTAGGAAGATCCTTCTTCGCAATAGAAATATCTTCCGGCGGGTCATTGTTTTTCTCTTGTTCCACTCTAGCTTCTTTTAGTCTCTCGATCTCTTTTAGAGCCACTAACCACCTACGAAGTTGCTGAAGTCTCTCTATGCCTCTACATGAAACTGACTGTTCTTCTAATCTTTTCAAAGCATGCTTAAAACTCTTGAAGTTTCCAGGACCCTAAAATTGAAAAGCATATAGTAAAGGCTCAATAGAGAACATGAGGAGAAATAAACTGAAGACATGACAAGGAGAAAGATAAGCATCATTACTAATCACATTAATTCAATATCATCCTACAGTGGAAATGAAGAATAATGTACTACTTGGCATTCAAAGTGGCCTCTGTTTATTAGCCTTGAGTTTTTACCAAAACAAGTTTAGTTTCGAGCAATGTTCTATATGACTTGGATATTCACTCATATCTAGAATCTGTAAGTGTTTTTTACAGTCGATTCACGTAAGCTGAAAACTGTCTTAAAGGTAATTCCAGGCTTCAAATTAGGTAGTCGCGCCCTTGACTGGAATCCTTGGACAGCGGGACAAGCTCATCCCCAGTACTTGAGAACATATATATTTTTAAATTTTATAGCAAAATCAGGGGGTTTCTACTTTCTAGTTCCTACAAATCGCCATCAATCAATTAATAAAATGTAATTCGTACAATTCCTAATACCAAACATCTGAATCATCGGCCTGTAAGAGTACATGAATGACCTTTCAGAATTAAACAAAGCTCAATTACTAATACTGTTATTTCAAACTGTAATTTTTTGCGCCGGCTACAAAAGCGCACACATAGAAACACGCGGGAGAGAGAGAAAATTTTACAGATCGATCATGAACTACTTTGGCACCGTCGACAACGGCGTAACCGGCAGTCTGGACGGCGCTGCGGAGGTTGCGAGTGATTTTCCTCTTGCCGCCGACTTCTACAGCTTTGTTCACCGCCGATCGTAGCCATGACATCGCCGATCAAGCTTCTCAGTCTACGTAGTTGCCTCGAAGAGTCGAAATTACGCATCGGATCAAACTGAAAATTGGAAATTTTTTTTTGCATAACGGAAATATTGGAGAAAGACGGTGAGAACAAGAGGCCGGAAAGCGACTTAGCAATGGCGGTGCGAGTTTGGCGCCTTTGGTTTCGTGCGCCAATCACCATTTTATACCGCGAATTTCCTTTTCCTTCCTCATTTTTAACCTTTTACTCCATAGCTGTTACCATTTACAGCACTCCGTAATTTATTTATTTATTTATTTATTTATTTTTAATTTTAAAGTATAAATTTGAAAAATATGGAGTCCTATTTTTCCATCCTACTTTTAGTACTAAAAACAGTAATTATATTTTTATTTATTTATTTAAATACTCCGTAACTGATTGTGGCCGCCTCATAAGTCATATTAGCATTGCAAATTAGGCCGTGCAACCGTGTGAACCATGCATGAGTGTACACGGTTACAAAAACAGCGTCGTTTTGATTAAAAACGATGCGTTCGACTTAAAAAAAATCGTTTTGATTGTTGTTAACGGCGTTATGTTGTGCATAATTTGAACTATATATCCATAATTAGTTCAAAATAGTTTTGATTGTTGTTAACGGCGTTATGTTGTGCATAATTTGAACTATATATCCAGAATTAGTGAACTATATATCTAAAATGTATGAACTATATATCCAGAATGAATGAACTATATAGTTCAAATTATGCACAACATAACGCCGTTAACGGCAATCAAAACTGATTTTTTTTTTTAAGTCAGACGTCAAAACGACGTCGTTTTTGTAACCGCATGATGCACACGGTTGCACAGCATAACGCTCCTATTTGCATTGCCTCCTTCATTAAATTAAATATGTTTTTGGGTAATGATAAATTATACTATTAACCCAAAAAAATACGATATTTCGGCCCAAGAGGAAAGTCCACAAAAATAGGAGTCACCAACCATAATAAAGGTGGGACAAAATACAAATAAGCATAAAGCAATGCAAATAAAAGAAGCCAAAGTAACCAGGTTGGCTGGCCTAAGTGGCCGTAAAACTACCAAGGAAGATCACCATCGACGATCTGGGATCCAGGCCCGGTAAAAGTAATCACAAGTACTGAGATTATTACTTTTAGTTTTTTTTTGCAAACAAAGAAACATTCATTAACTTAAATCAGAAACCAACACATTACAAATGATAGAAGGAGGGTTGTAGAACCACTCCGAGCAATCAGGCACAGAACTAGACTGCCTAGCAAGGACATGGGCCGTCTGGTTCGCTGATCTTCTAGCAAATGAAATAAACACATTACAGAAGTCCTTTAAGAGGTGTTTAATATCTTCAACAATGAGATGAAAAGAGGACACTCCGGCTTTTGAGTTAAGACTTTGAACAACTTGCAGAGAGTCCGATTCTACTTGAACATTGTCCATGTTGTGGACCTTTAGCCAGCTTAAAGCTTCCCGGATCGCAATTGCTTCGGCTTCCCTAGGAGTAAAGATACCCTTCCACTGTTCCCCCCTTGCTGCAATGAAATTGCCTTCCTCATCTCTAATCACACTGCCAAGGCCCATAGCTGCTTCCTGGATATTTATCGCGGCATCCACATTCATCTTAAGTAAGCCCGGTTGCGGTTTTGTCCACTTCTGTATTGTATCGGAATGGCCATGTTGTGGAGCGAGTTGTAAACTCTTAGCTTCAGTCCACTCGCTCAGAAAACCCTTAGCACATCTAACAAGCTGCTCTTCACGAGGGATTGTTGAGTTGTTCCACACCTTATCATTCCTATGGCGCCAGAGTTCCCAACAAATAATTGCAAGTAAGCAGAGATAATCTTTATTCATCCTGGCCATGTTATGGTTGATCCAGGCCGAGAAGGAGAGTTCCCTGGCATCACTAATATGCAGGCATGAATGTCTCCAGCATGCTTTAGCATAAATACAGTCCACAAGAAGGTGATAGATGGACTCATCTGAGCTGTTGCAGAGAGGGCAGATAGCATGGCAATCCACTCTTTTTCTTCGTAAGAGATCCTTCGTGGGTAGGCTATTTGTGCATGCCTGCCAAAGGAATACCTTGGTTTTTGGTGGGATCTTCAACTGCCAAACTGCTGCCCAAGGTTGCGCTTCCGCATCTTGCAGTTCTCCTCGTATTGCCTTATAACAACTCTTCACCGAAAAGCACCCGTCGTCGTCTGCTGACCATATGGATCTGTCGTGACACTGCTGCTTTGCAAGAGGGATACTCATGATTAAATTGGCATCCCTGGGAGAAAATATAATCCTGATAGTATCCTCATCCCATCTGTTCTCTTCGGTCAACATAAGATCTGCCACTTTAGCATTTTCCATAAGAGGGTAGGGAAAAGAAGTTACTTTGGGGTTGGATTTGTCGGGGAGCCAATTGTCTTTCCAGATACTGATTTGTGCTCCACTGCCCACACGCCATCTGCTATGCTTTCTGATGATGTCTTGAGTTTGAATCAAACTAGACCAAATGAATGATGGATTTTGGCCAGCTTTAGCCTCCAAGAATGATGATTCAGGATAATATCTTGCTTTAAAAATTCTCGCGGCTAAGGAGTTTTGGTTGTTTAACAGTCTCCAAGATTGTTTCGACAACATAGCTAAATTGAAGTCCCTAAGATTTCTAAAGCCTAGCCCTCCCCACTTCTTTGGATAACAGAGTTTTTCCCAAGAATGCCAATGTATGCCCTTATTCTCACTCCTACCCCCCCCCCACCCCCCCCCACCAGAATGAGTTCATGATATTCTCAATCTCTCTACACAGACTCACAGGCAAGAGGAAAACACCCATTGCATAGGATGGAATGGCCTGGATGACACTTTTTAACAAAACAGCCCTCCCCGCTCTAGATAAAAATTTGTGGTGCCAACTATGAATACGGGCTATTATCTTCTCCTTAACAAAGCTCAGTACCTCCCTCCTATTCCTACCCACCTTCATAGGCAGCACCAAATAGTTTCCAGCTCCCCCCAACCTACTCACACCCAGAATGTTGCTCACAGTGTCCCTAATACCCTCCCCCACATTAGCACTGAAGCAGATAGATGATTTTGCAAAGTTCACATATTGACCAGAAGCACTGCCATAAAGAGAGAGAAGATCATTCACAATGTTTGCCTCAACCTGATTAGCCTTAAAGAAAACGTAGCTGTCATCAGCAAAAAGTAAGTGAGTGATTGAAGGGGCAGTTCTTGCTACCTTAATTCCATGGATCCTTCCTTCGTTTTCACAGCTCGTGAGCATGGCACTAAGGCCCTCTGCAATAAGAAGAAACAGATATGGGGAAAGAGGGTCCCCTCGCCTAAGACCCCGCTATGGAGTGATGGGGCCGATTTCCTCTCCTTGGTTTAGGACGACAAAACTTGTAGTAGTCACACATATCATCACTAGGTTCACCCAGCGTTCGTCAAAGCCCAGTTTAAGCATAATAGCCCTTAAAAGTGGCCACTCCACCCTGTCGTAGGCCTTGCTCATGTCAAGCTTCAGAGCAGCAAATCCTTCCCGGCATTGAAATTTCCTTTTCAGATAGTGTTGCATTTCAAATGCCACCATAATGTTATCCGTGATCAATCTTCTCAGTACGAAGGCGCTCTGCTTATCTGAGATTATTACTTTTAGTAAGTATGCAACTATCAACGGACTTGACGAGTCTTTACCACTATCGGTAAGATGGACTAGGTTACTGATCGCAAAAGTATTTACGAGGTTGTCTATACCACCATCCCCACTTTTTAGTGGGTAACAAAAATCGGACTTGATTTTCATAATCGGCATAGGTGGGTCAGGGTATCACTTCACCGATGATACCTACGTAGTAATTTGTACTACCGTCCATATACATTTAATAAGTAGGTAACTATCAACATACTGGATGAATACTATCATCGGCAATGTGGACTAGGTTATTGATCCCACCAATAACTACATGGTACTACCATCCCCACTTTAAGTGGGAAAATGTAACCGGGTTTGATTTGTCTTTACGGGTATCGCACGGGTCAGACTATTTTATCACTTCACCGCTGATGCTTACAGGTGGCCTAAGCCGAAAACAAGCAAAATTAAATATACTTCATAACACAAAAAGTAGACACACTTTATAAGATTAACTTGTGTTTGGGTTAGAATGAACAACTTTATGTTGTTATTGAGCTAGCATTGCTCATTTGCTTGTAAGCAATAGGAATAGTGAATCTTGCATATTAGTACATTTGGATAGAACAAGGAAATGACACACTTTAGCACAATTTCAAGCAATTCTTCATTTCACAATGGACTAAAGTACATTTTTACCTTAGTTTAGCTTCCAATAAGCATTAGACCTTCCTATATCATTTTACCTTTGTTGCATATTCTCTATATCTCTTTATTAGTTACAATTAATTTAGATTTAACTTAATTATTTTCACTCAATTACGTTCCAGCTAGTTTTACAAGAATCAATCATAACTAGTATTTATCATCTAAGTTTTTGTGACTAAATACTCCGAAATACTTCAAAAGTCCATAAATTCAACTAAACTTAAATGTTGCAATTAATATCTAAAATGACTTACCCAAGAATATACCTTACAAAATGCAAAATGGGACAGATGAAATATTTAATTATATTTTATGATTTTTTTTTTAGCAACCTATATTTTATGATTTAATTTATCTCTAATTTTTCATTTATTTTATAGTATTTGTTTAAAAATTCCTCAATTATATTTGTCGATTACCAACTTTCCAATAAATCATAAAAGTGTGATTATGAGCTTTCCCGTAAATCAAAGTACTAAGTGGCTTTAGTTGTTGAAACACATGACTACATATAAAGTTGTAGACATTGCATTATTTGACTTATTGATGACTTGTATTCATAGAAGGAACAACATAAGCCTGTTTTTGGGAGACAATATGAATATCCTTTATGGTCACAAAACTGGGCATTATATACTATACTAGACTAGACTAGAAGTGCATCAATAATGGTGAGTGGCATCCTGCACTGCTGAAGCTATCTCTGTCAAAACTTCAAATACCTTCTTCTTCCTACCAACCAAATCTCTACAAGCTACCGAGTTCTGGCAGTGGCATTTTCCAGTAGTTCCACGAGTTGTAATCTTCCTGCAAAATCAACATTTGCACACGGTTGTTACAAAGGCGGTGGGGAGTAGAAAACGCATCCAAGGACTCAAAACAGTAAGTTCAAGAATCAAAAAGCCGGCTCGTCTGGTAAAAAAGCTTATACAACAAGATTATCGAGAGATTATAAGATTAAAGGATCAAATTTCGACGTGTTTGGAATATATTGTGTGTAACTTTACCAGACAGGACTATATATAATTTTAGGCGCAAAATATTCTGCAACTTTCAGAAGCATTAGGAAATGATTGTGTTTACTCACAGTTATGTGGGGTAATGGGCAAATTATTATGTGGACCATAACAAAAAGTACATATTTAATATACTAAAAGTACATTACTCGTGTACTGAATGTACATTTACATTCAGTACTCAAATAATGTACTTTTCCTGAATACAATGTACATTTTTAATATACTAAAAGTACATTATTTGTGTACTGAATATACATTATTTGATAGTATTGTCCACACAATAATGATTGGGGAGAATGGTAATAGAAATGTCTGAAAGTCCGCGGATATGGAATCCCTTACCTGTTCAACCATCGATGTTGGGGGAAACATGTCGTTTACCAAAGTATGTAACGAAGTGTATGATTTGACGTCGATTCGGTGATGACTAATAGCTACCTCACCCTGTAAAATTCGTTGAACTCTGTTAGTAAAAATGAAAGAAAAACCCAGAAAAGAGTTAACAGCGTGCTGAAGAAAGTACACTACCTTTGGGTTAATTATGAAGATCTTGCCCTTTGGAATTCCAATTTTTCTATAGCTAAGTTCATCGGTGTCTCTATTTCCAAAACCTGCATAAAACGGGTTGTAATCTGGAGGGAAAAGAGCTTTGATATCCTGCAAATATTTTTAGTATCAGAATGGCCCAAACGTTTAAAGAATCAAAGAAGAGTTGTCCAAGTCTAAATACCGACCTCTAAACAGGCAATCTTGAATTCATGAGGAGCTCTTCTTATCACTGCGACAGAATTTAGTATGTTAAGTTGTAGCATAAAAGAATCACACACACCCAAATATTACCGTTGAAATTAAAAAAAAAACAAAAAAACAAAAAAAACAAAAAACAAAAAAAAACAAACAAAAAAAATCAAAAACTCGATAGAGTATCTGTTACCTTCTCTGTACAATGAAGGAAATAGACCATCGGGTGAAATAACAACTGGCCCAATGGGCAAGGTTTTCCCGTCCTACAAGCATTCAAAATGTTTCCCAGTCAGCATAATTTTTTTCATAATGTTTACACACAGAACAACCAAAGAGGCAAAAACGGAGAACAGATCCACACACATCTTTAAAATAAGAAAAAGGGGAAAAAGTGGTTCGTTAAACGTTTCAGTAACCCTTTTTTTTCACTTAAAAAGGGGAAAAAGTGGCACATTTCAGATGATGACATACCTGTTTTAAATTGAACAGGAAACTTTTGGTCAGATATGCTTGGACAATTGCTCGTGCACTAAGAAAAAGTAGCTGATACCCATTTTCCTGCAGTTTTCCAGGTACTATTTTCTCAGAGAAATGCATCCATTTACAATACTTTGTCATCGAGGAAGAGTAAAAGTAGGACGTAAAAATGTTTCTTATGTGAATGGTGTCAATCATTAACAAGTGATCACCGAAAAGAAGCGAAAAATACCTTAATTGCTGAGAAAAGTCTAGCAATTCCAGAATGCGTCCAATCCTTCCCGACCAAAGGCATGAACTGCCCAAGAACATCAGACCTACACATTTTGGTTGCCGCTTATAAGCCATTTCATCACATTTTTACATACAAAGTCCTCTTAGAAAATAGCATAATTTGCTGATTATAGAAAGAAATCCAATTGGGCTTACTTGGTAATGGTACCATCAACATCAGAAATCACGATTCTTGCATTCCACTTCCACAAGTATATATGAGCTTCAACCTATTTCAGAAACCCAACTAGCCACGTAAAGAATCCAGTTGGATGGAGTACACAATGTAACAAATATCAAGCACGTGAAACCTCACATACCTTCTGTACTCCTAGAACCCTGGTAGAGAAAATGAAGACCACCATATTTTGCCCATCCTTTAGGTTTAAAGAGTCAATCTGTTCAGAGGTTGGAACATTAGTTCTCACAAGTTGTTTCCGAGGAGATAGTTTGCCTCCTCGGGCTGTTGGACTTGGATCTGCAGCCTGGTTCTGCAAGCTACTTTCGGAATCAAGAAAAACATCCTCGTTTGACACATTACTGCTAGTATGCTCGAGTGTCTTAACCCTTCTAAATGGAATTGGCCAGAGCCTCCAGCGCCGTCCAGAAGCAGACCTCTCGATCCCAGAATCATCTACCCGTGATTTTGGAGTTCCCCCGTGCTCAACAGGAATTACATCAGTGTATTCAATAGGTAATTCCAAGTCATAAGCAGCCATCCCGAGTATGATTGAAGCAGCTTTTTCCCATGACAAGTATTTCCCCTGAATTCTAGCAACCAAATTTTCATTCTTGATTATTGATTTTGCAGAATTTTTAAATTCCATCTCAGATATTCGATTTGCATTGAAGACTTCTGCAGCAGCACCCGAACCCATTCCAGGATGAAGAAGGTGCCCACAGAGAGCAATCTCTAATCCTGCATATACAATTAGACATAGAAGAATATGCATTAAGAAGATCACCAAAAGTCGAATAAATGTGAGTGAAAAAGTATAAACATAATCAAGGGACTGATCATACTTGTGCTTTTACACTGAGTGCACTCATCTGATCTTGCCTGGCTACTTTCTAATTCTTTTGCATCTGGTGTTCCCTCAATCTGTTTCTCCGAGGCTTCACCATTACAAACAAAACGTACATGTGCCCTGTCAGAATCACTATTATCAAGGGTTTTGGCTTCAACCTGCACATCTGACAAAGGAGAACTGCAAGAAATATCACAACTAGAAGGTAGCCCATTATTCTCGAATTTTTCAGATGACCCATTTTCAGTTCCATTGATTGCTAAAGGGCTCCTTGGAGACGCTATGTCTGATAGCTTGGAATCATTTTCAACCTGCAAGGCGAGTTCTGGAAGTTCCAAACAGCTTGCAAAGATATCGCCTTTCTTGATGCCTGATGGTGTGCTCTCCCCACTCTCATTCCTAAGAAGCTCTTGATCCTGAGCCTCTACATACGATGTTTCTTTGCTAACTTCTAACAAGTGATCTGCAGGACCGTGCTCACTGTTTGAGCTGCTCAAATTATCAGTGGAAGGAACTCTCTGTGTAGATATTCCCGTACTGCTCAAATTATCAGTACCCCATTTAACTTTTGCAGTGTTAATTTCGGTATTAGTTTCACAAAAGTCGGTTTCTTCACCTGGGCCAAGATGAAACTGAGGTGTAGCCAACTCTACATTCTCTGTATTCCTTTCAGAAGACGAGATTGGTGCTGTCAATATGTGGCCATCCACGCTTACTAAAACAACTTCCGAGCCAGAATTTTGAGATTCCAACACTTGCTCCACAGTTTCTAAATTCTCATAGAGACTGGATTCGTACCCTGATAAGTCAATCGAACCGTCAAGAGAAGAATCCACATCATCAAGCTCATAAAATCTCCTGCCAGACTCTGTCCTATCAAATCGATCTACCCCAAAAGCGAGACGCTCATCTTGCATCTCTGACTCGTCATCATTAGGCTCGGGTCTAGAATGCACCCCCGGACTACTTTCTCCGCCATTAGCATTATCAATACTACTGCCCTCTCTCGAACCATCAAAACTATCGGTATCCTTCAAGAATTCATTTCCCTCATTCTCCTTATCACTGTCAACTTCCCTGATAAAATAGGCTTCCCCAGAATTGTCCAGATACATGTGAAAATCAGCCTCGACGCCATTAACTTCTATCCTAACCTCCTTCTCTGCCCCTTTAAGAACGCCTTGAAATTTCCCAAACCGAACATACCAAGGCGTGCTCCTGAAACTCCCATCCTGCTGTTTGACAGAAATAATGTCAACAGCCCCACCAAAAGGATGAAATGGGGTGGCAACAGAGTACACACCTGCAGTTATAATGCTCCCAACTTTTCCCACTACATTCATCTGCTCCACCAAGCAAGAAACTAACACACACACAATAAATCAGTCCCCAAAATGGTGAATAATACCCCACAACCCAGTCACCAATGCAATCTTTATCAATTATAGAACCTCCCAGAATCTAATCTAAACCAATTTATTCCCTAAACACCCAATTTGAAATCTCCCCAAGTTCTTCTCAAGGAAGATATCTGATTATCTGCACACAACAAGTAACAAACACAAATAAATGCAGCAGTAAATTAAGTAAACAAACCCCAAAGCATGCAACTTTACATCAAGATGCTCAAAGATACGAAGAACCCAAGGTAGCATTAATTCCACAAAAATGAATAACAATCCAAGAATCTTTTAAAATACCAAAAAATATAATTAATAAAGGCTTAAGGGTTGATACCAAGTTCTGTAAGCTACAATGGCCGGCGGATCGATTCGATGCACCCCTCACGCCACAATATCACAACCGAAAATCTTTCTACTCTGAGAATTCTCTCTTTCTCTTTCTCTCTCTCTCTCTCTCTCTCCCTTGTATATATATAGGGAGATTCCGCCACTGTTATGAGGCTATCTCTCTACTTTCTCTCTCTAGAAGGGGTTGGGAATTTGGGATATATTGGCGATGTTTCTTATGCGAACGGTAACGCAGTGAAGTACTTTTCTTGAAAATTAATGGGGAAAAAAATGGATTGAAGTGAAATGTTTTGGGACAAAGAATCAAAAATTCCTTTGTAATTAAATTCGCATTTTCCCTGCATTCAAAAAAAAAAAAAAAAAATTCGCATTTTCCCTGGAATTGGGTTTCCTTGAAAAGCCCTCTGTTTTTACCGGAATTACAATTTTGGATCGCAGTAGCAGAATGGTTGGAGGGGGTTTTTGGGAATTGCAAGGCGAGGTCGCCGTAATGGAGTTGAACGTTTGAAGGAGATGAAGCTTCCCAGTTGTACTTTGATCTTTATCGCATGTGACCTAACGACTATACTATTTTTTTTTTTATTCTTTTATTTTTGTATAGTTTTTCCACGAGCTTGATTGTATATTACATTCCAACTATTTTATGCACAAATTGCAATAAATTTTGTCAAATTGATTTATGTGTATCTCATTCAGTTAACGATGCTTGAAGTTATTTTTAATTTCATTTTCTAAAATATTAAGTTTAGTATTAGTATAATAAAATTTATATATTTAGAAATTACACTAAAATACTATCGGAGTATAAAACAAAAAAATTAAATTTAAAAATAAGTAAAAAATAATAAATAAAATAAACAAATAAGATATAATTTATTTGATCAATAAATAGTAAGTATAACAGATAAAATGAGACCGATGAAGTAATTCAAAACCAAAATATTCAATGAGTATGGATGCAGTTTTAATTAACTATCCTTTGTGTCATGTTTTTATTTATTTATTTATTTATTTATTTATTTTGTAACTGTAAAAATTTATAATCATTTCTTGAAGATGTGCACTGAGTAAACATTATTTACGTGTAATAATTTGCAAATCACACAAAAAAAGTATATCACATTAAGAATATTATATGTGATGAACTAGATTAGGCAAAAATTAAACATGTGACACTATAGTATAAGAACCATGTTCCTTCGCCCATTTCAGGACTCCATTGTGCAATATTTGTGGGCAAAGTTACTAACAAGCCCTTTTTTTTAGCATGAGATAGTAAGTATTAGGTTCAGGTGCAAGTATAGCTTCCCATGTGGTTGTGTGGTTAACGCACATTAAGTACGCAAACTATGCAACTTAAGCATACAAACAAAGCACCTTAAGAACACAAATCACGCGCACCTAAAGCTTTAGGCTGATGCACCTTAAGTACACAAACCACGCACCTTAAGCACACAAAATGACGCACCTTAAGTTTCACACAACTGACACACCTTAAGCATACAAATCACGTACCTTAAAAAGGAAAATAACGCATCTTAAGAAGAAAAATCATGTACCTTAAGTTTTAGGTTGACGCACCTTAAGTTTCAACACTGATGCAGCTTAAACACACAAACCATGCACCTTAAGAAGGAAAACCACGCACTTTAGCAACCACACAGCTGCAAGGGAATCCATATATATATATATATATATATATATATATATATATATATATATATATATATAGTTTGTATATTATTATATTGATCATTCTATTTTTTTACTCTGTGTTTACCTGCAAGTTAAGTTAATTGCACAAATTTAAAAAGTTACGGGCTTAATTACATACAAGTGAAGAGATGAAGGGTCTAATTGGAGTTTTTGTTAGTTTATGGGGTTAATTGTAATTTGACTGATAGTTGAAGTGCCTTTTTTTTTTTTTTTTGAAATATGGCGTACCAGTATATTAATTCAAAAATTGAATGATAGAGTCAGGAGGGATTAAATCCCAGTACATAGAATGATCCTGATCATGGGCTAATCTAGCAAGAGTATGCGCATGTAAATTTAGAGTTCTTGGAATAAAACTAAGCGAACAAAAAACGAAACTATTAATAGCTATCCTGCACTGCTCAATCACAATTCCAACATAAGATAAGTTCGGTGTAGTTACTGCATGAACCGCATTCCTGAAGACAAGACAATCTGTAAGAATATCGACCTCGTTCTCGTTTCGGTCTTTAAGCCAGGACAAGGCTTCCTTGCATGCTAGTGCTTCTGCCATAAGAGGAGTTAAACACCCCGGGAGTTTTCCGTTTGCCGCTGCTTTGAACAAACCATTCGGATCGAGTAAGACCGCCCCATAGGTTGCATCTCCCGTCCCCGGATCGTATCCGGCGTCGACGTAGCACGTCGTCCGCCCGGCTGCCACTGTCTGCACCTCGCCGGCCGGTGCCGCTTCTGGACGAGAATGAAGTGCCGTGTAGCTCGCCTCCCCCGCAGCTGCACGGCGCCACACCACCTCCGGCCTCCGTACCGCATGTTGCCAGACCGCCTCGTTTCTGGCCATCCATAAAAAATAGAGGACCCCCACAACACGTCTGACCTGTTCTCCTGTGAGCATATCCATAACAGTCATAAGCCAGTTCGGGAAAGATGTTGAAGAAATATTCATAATAGGCAATCCCGAAATATTCCACACGGCTCTAGAATAATCACATAAAACTAATGAGTGCATAACATTCTCATTTGTAAGACCACACAACATGCATGTTGGGTTCACATCTACCCTCTTTATAATCAAATTTGTTGTGGTTGGGAGTATATCACACACTGCTCTCCATAAAAAAGTTTTCCACTTAGGGGGGACTTTCAACTTCCACAATGTAATCCATCTATCAAATTCTCCCAAGGTGTGATTAAATTCTCCCATTAGACGCCTATAAGCATCTTTTACAGTGTAACAACCATTCGCATCATTATGCCAATACCATGTGTCTTTATAGTCTGGGCTCACAGGTATTCTCAAAATACGATCCACATCCTCAGGCTCAAATAAATCTGTTAAAATATGAGGGTCCCATGTTTTTGTTTGCTGATCTATTAAACCTGCAACAACTGCATCTCTTAATGGTTCAGGCATTACTGTTTGAACCAGTGGACTAGGATTATCCTGCAACCACGGATGACCCCATATCAAAGTCTCCTGGCCATTTCCAATTCTCCTGCAGACGTGGGCAACAACAAAATCATGAGCAGCCATAATACTTCGCCAACAAAAACTGGGATTATTTCCCATCGTTGCATCAACAAAAGAAGTTTTAGGGAAATATCTTGCTTTATATATTCGTGCTGGCAGAGATCCTGGATTTGTTAAGAAACGCCATGCCTGTTTACCCAACATTGCCAGATTAAAATTCCTCAGATCTTTAAACCCCAATCCACCAAACTTTTTAGGAATACACAATTTGTTCCATGCTTTCCAGTGGATTCCTCTGTCTGGCCCTTTCCCCCACCAATACCTATTCATGGCCCTTTGTACCGACTCGCAAACTGATTCAGGGAGCAAAAAAACACTCATTGAAAATGTGGGCATAGACTGAGCCACACTTTTCAAAAGCACCTCTTTGCCAGCCTGTGATAACAATTTCTTGTTCCACGAGAAAACTCTTTGTCTGATTTTTTCTTCTATATAAGAGAAAACAGCCCTTTTATTTCTCCCTATAAAAGAGGGTAACCCCAGATATTTTTCAAAGTTCCTTGCTTGTTCCACGCCCAAACATTCGGCCACCTCTTATTTCATCTGTTCCGCAGTATTCTTACTATAGCATATATTAGATTTACTATAGTTTACCAACTGACCAGATAATTCCCCATACCTCTCCAAACACCGCTTAACCACCATAGCTTCCTGGACATTTGCTTTAAAAAATAATAAACTATCATCAGCAAAAAATAGGTGTGATATTGGGGGGGCTCCCCTAGCCACTCTACAACCGTGAATAGATCCTACTGCCTGCTCTTTCTGCAAAAGCATGGATAAACCTTCAGCACAAATAATAAATAAGAAAGGTGAAAGTGGATCTCCCTGTCTGAGACCCCTTGTTGGTTGCACCTGGCCTCCACTCACGCCATTGACCATCACAGTGTATGATACAGTGGTAACACATGTCATTATCAGCTTAATCCACCTTCCATCAAAACCCATTACTTCCAGCTTGATAGTTGAAGTGCCTATTTGACCATTATCTCTAATTAATTTGATGATAATATCCCTAAATTTAACACCCGTTTAATATAAATTTTAACGAAAAATTACATGTGGTAAAAAATGAAAATCAATGTACATATTTTAGTCAAATTAAAAATCGAATATTAAAAGAAATACTAATTCAATAGTCATATTACCCTTTGCGGTATTAACTCTTTATTTTATATTTTATATTTCTCGCTAATGGCCATTTGATGGGGTATTGAGCTGACCAAATATTCCTATCGATGGAATTTTGGGACGTGGTCAACATTATTTTGTGGAGGATGTGAAAGACATGTCTCACAATGCTGAGACTAGCAACGACTATTTAACTTTCCTAACGGCATATAAAAGGGATGAAATTATTTTAAGAAGGCAGCCATAAATGGAAACATTTACAGGGCATTTGGTTGGAGAGGGAGAATTATGTGGGAAATGAATTGTAATTCTATGGAAGTTTAATTACTGGGAATAAAGTGAGAATTTAAATTCCAGTGTTTGGTTGACAGGAATAGAATTACTGAGAATTTCAATTCCAATGTTTGGTATACATGGGAATTGAAGGGGAATAAGTAGTATAAAGTCAAAAATGTCCATTATTGTTGTTAGACATTAATTTTAGGTTAAAAAGGGAAGGGGTAATTTTGACTCATCACTATCTTTTTTTCCCAGGAATTAAAATACCAGGGAGGGACATGGGATTTTAATTCCATGAAAATGGGGGAATTGCAATTCCATGGAATTGCAATTCCATGGAATTGCAATTCCCTCCAACCAAACTACGGAATTTAATGGTCTTTGGAATTATGTGGAAATTAAGTGGGAAGGGAATTTAAAATCTCTCTAACCAAACACCCTGTTACGGTACCTTATATCCTCACATTTTTTCAAAAGGTTGAACCCCAATCCCTTCATTTGGGAGGATGTAAATCATGGTGACTCAATTGAACATGAACTACAGAATTTGTGTACAAGGAACCTCCCACACTGCCGCTAGTGATACTCGATCACTAATCATTCTTCCAAACTTTCACCTCTATAACCAGTTGAGCTATCCATACGGGCATCTTAATCCTTAAATCCTCACATGATTGAAGTAATGGCGTGCAGGGAAGCCCTCTTGTGACTGAGACATTGCGGAACCATCACATTGAAACTTGGGTCAGATTGTGCTAGTGCCATCACAACACTAACACAGAGTATCAGATCCTACACGGGCTACATTACCAACTCTTGTGCTTATATTATGGCTAGTTTTGATTATTTAGTTTATCGTTTAATTAAGAGATCATCGAACCTGTTGGTTCACACACTTGATATGGCAACAGGCTCTCAGTTTAACTCTCGTTCAAATTTTATATTCGCAGGTTTGGAAGTAATTTGTAAAAGAAATGTGTATTTTACACTTTGCACGTTTAGGAATAAATACATGTCAGTATTAAAATTACTGAATTGTCATTCTATTTAACATTAAATGAACAGAATAACAAACGAATGATTAAATTAAGCAAAAACACAAATTCTGAAACTATATTAGATCACCAAAAGTCATTTAAGACGAAATTAAAAAATAATAATTATAGTCGAGGACCATTTTAAATATTAACTCCTAAATATGTAATCTACCACTATCGATTAAAGAATTCGATTATAGAAACAAAAAGAGTACTAGAGGCCTTATATCTCGTTTCACATTCTTTATTCCCTAGTTTTGTGATGGGGTTAAAATACCATTATATGTGATATTATTCAAAAAGAAATTTAATAAAAAGATTAAAATAAGTCATTAAGCTTATAATTTATGTACAGTTAGATTAATTAACTTAAAATATATACAATTGAACTATCAAATAAGTAAAATATATATAGTTGGGACATTTTTTATTTATTCCGATGCAAATTCACTTAAAAATATTTTAATTCTTCATTCCAATTAGCATGGTGGAGGAAAAGAAAACTCTTACAACACGTTTGGTTCATAAAATAAATTTTAAGGGGATATGAATGCTATTTTAGTATTAATCTATTTTGTGAATCAAATGTGATGTTAGTACATATCATATAAGTAATAAGGATGACTTATATTGGAGGAAAAGTTTATCCCAATTATTTTGTTTGTTTGATGGTTCAATTGCAAGCATTTTAAGTTTAATAACCAAAATCTTTTTTTTCCCCCTATTACACAAAAATTATAAATTTCAATAACCTATTTCACATTTAAAAAATTATTTGATTACTAAATTACTTTTTAAACTTGTCAAGCACCTTGTGCTCAGATGACACCTATGTGACTCCTTTTAAGAGAATGTCACAAGTCTTCAACAGTTTGAGAAAGTCCTGGTGGTGGGATATTAACTATTTGGCCTTTAACAGTTTGAGAAAGTATAGAGTAGATACTACCTTGTAATAGAGTTAATAGTATTAAAAAAAAAAAGCTCATTTTGTGATCAACCTATAAATAAATAAAAAATGTTATCACTATGGGCCCCCACGTCCCGGTCCGACAGAGCATATAATTGATGTAAATTATGGTAACTCAGCTGAACACAAAGGCTAGATTTTTGCTTACCATGCACACGGAACATCCCTCACTTTGAGAGGTTGCTCATACACTGCCGCTGGTGAGACTCGATCTCGAATTATTGTTTTCAAATTGTATCCTTGTGACCAATTGAGCTGTTCATACAGGTAAAACATAAATTAAGAGGGTACCGATTTTTAATTAAAAAATATCTTAATTATAAAGGTAAAATGTCATTATTATAGAATTAAATTGAATGAGACTTTGAATCTGAAGGCCTAGAGCTGAAATAACAAAGAATATTACTTTCTATTAGCTTTATTCATTTATTTGGGTAATTAATTTTAAAAGACAAATATTCTTAAAATAATTTCTATTTGTCGCTCGTTCATCCCCTACGATTTTCTTTCATTTTCCCTTTGAGTAATTTTGGGTCTAAAAAAGAAAATAGTTTTAGATCTGAATTAGTGGGGTGTGAAATACCAATTATACCCTCAGATCTAAGCTCGCCCAAGTCTAAAGTAATCTCCACGCTGTTTCTCCCTTCTTTATCTCCCCGTCTCTGCTTCCCAAACGCATTTCAGCATTTGCTTTTCTTTTCCTCATCGCCGTCGGCTTGCAGGCTTCGCCGCCGATCTCCGCCTGCGAGAATGACGAAACTACCCTTGATCCTCCTCCTCTCCCTCTCCATTGTCTACCTCGCCGCCGCCGAGATCAAAACCCTGAAGATCACTTCAGATTCCCGGGCGATGATTCTGTTCGAGCGGTTCGGGTTCACGCACACGGGTCACGCCTCCATAGCCGTCTCGTCGGTGGCCGTGTTCTCCACGCTCGCCGCGCCGGAGCCGTCTCACCTCGGCTTCTTCCTCCTCTCGCAGGAGTCGCTCATCCAGGTCCTGCTGGAGCTCCAGCAGAACCCGCAGTTCTGCGTGCTCGATTCAAAGTATATAAACCTACTCTTCACCTTCCGTGACCTATCCCCGCCGCCGAATTCCTCTTTCAACCGCTCTTACCCTATCACGGCTCCCAATGAGTACTCTCTCTTCTTCGCGAACTGCGCGCCGGAATCTAAGGTCTCCATGGAGGTCCGTACCGAGCTCTACAACCTCGACGGTCAGGTCAAGGACTATCTCTCCGCGGGTCTCACTCAGATCCCTACTCTCTACTTCTTTTTCTCCCTAGTTTACTTCGGATTTCTCGCTTTCTGGGTGTACATCTGCTACACCAACAAGACTTCAGTCCACCGGATCCATCTCTTAATGGCGGGTTTACTCATCATGAAGGCCTTGAACTTACTCTGCGCCGCGGAGGACAAGCATTACGTGAAGGTGAGCGGAACGGCTCACGGATGGGATGTGTTGTTCTACATTTTCCAGTTCATTCGCGTGGTCTTGCTCTTCACGGTTATCATCTTGATCGGAACCGGGTGGTCGTTCCTGAAGCCGTTCTTGCAGGAGAGGGAGAAGAAGGTGTTGATGATAGTGATTCCCCTGCAGGTTTTGGCCAATGTGGCCTCTGTGGTGATTGGGGAAACCGGGCCTTTCATCAAGGACTGGGTTACATGGAACCAGGTGTTCTTGATTGTAGATATTGTGTGCTGCTGTGCAATTATCTTCCCGATTGTATGGTCGATTCGGGGTCTGAGGGAAACATCAAAGACTGATGGGAAGGCTGCCAGGAACTTAGCGAAATTGACTCTTTTCAGGCAGTTCTATATTGTGGTGATTGGGTACCTGTATTTCACTAGGATTGTGGTGTTTGCCCTGAGGACCATTGCTGCTTACAAGTACCAGTGGGTGGCGAATGCTGCAGAGGAGATTGCGAATCTCGCGTTCTACTTAACAATGTTTTACATGTTTATGCCGGTCGAAAAGAATCAGTACTTTGCTCTTGATGACGACGAGGAAGAGGCTGCAGAGCTGGCTCTTCGCGATGAGGAATTCGAGCTTTGAAGTTGGAATAGCCATGGCTAATCTCATTTTACACTTGTGTGGCTCTCAACCCTGCAATTGTGAGTTGCTCTGTGACTGTGAGGTGGTGGTAGCTAGATTTGCTGTGTTGAATACTTGAATTCCAATTGTCTATTTTACCATCTGTTTTGTTTTTTTTTTTTTTTTACCCTTATTGCCTATCTTTTTTTCTGATTATAATAGCTGTGAAGTTAAGTAAGGAACAACACCCAGTTTTCAAACTATGACATTATTCTCATGTACTCAAATTGGTTATGGAAAACCTCACTGTTATGAAATGGTAGTGCCTTGTCTTGACTCTCTTGACTAGCTTTTCTTCTGTCTTTTGTGCTGTGTACTTTTGGATAGGTTTAAAAGGATTATTGTTTTGGGTTATGGAAGTAGTTGAAGAGTGAAATGTCCATTCCTTTGGAGTTTTGCATGATGGTAAACCACTCCCTGTCTCTTGTGGTTACTGAGATTTT